TGGGGAATCCTGGGAGTTGAAGTCCACACATCTTGAAGTTGCCAAGATTGAAAAACACTGCTCTAGGCCATTTTACTTTTGCATCACGCCTTGGCTAAACATGTTGAGGGGTCTCTCTTCCCCTTTCTTGATGGACCGGCTTGCCTGTTTTGCTTTTTCCAAACAGTTTGCAAGTCGGGAGAGACTTTGACCATGCCTCCTTTCTGTGACTTAGGCAAACAGCTCCCCCAGCTGGCAGTCTGTGGAACATGCTGTGTAAGTCAGAAAGAAGACCGGTTTCTAGATCATCAGTGAGGACCAGTGAAGTTTCTCTCTCTAAAGTCCTTCTGGTGTGCCATTCTCCCTCCCACCTAAAGATGCTATATAGGAGCACAGGAAGCTATTTTATAGCAGGTCAGACTTGCTGTAAAACAATGGAGCTTTACATGTTTTTCTATTGCCTATTGGAGGATGGTCAATTAAAAAGATGCGCCAAACCTTATGAGATAGCCCTATTTCATATTCTCTTTGTTCTTGCATGAGAGGCTGCATCACCATGTCCCCATGTGATTTAGGGCATCTAATGGGGGGGGGGAGCTTTGAGAAGGAGCCCACTGGTACATCACATAATCAACGCTTGCAGTGGACACTTGTAGGACTGATCCGGCCTACTGTGAAGCCCCATCCCACATGATGTGTGTCTGCTTGGGAAGCTGGCTGGCCAGACAGACAGCCACATCCTATCACATGCCATACTATTCCAATTCTCTTTCTTCTACCAACAATCACTCAGTAGTCTGTGGCCTGAGCATCTCCAGGGCCCTTCCATGTGGAAGGATGATGCGGCTCTGAGACTGGTACCAACAGAAGTGAATAGGTGTAGCTCAGGTTCAACTGTGGAGTCCTTGAGGTTCTCTGAACTTGGTTGTTTTCTTGCAAACATTTCGTGACCCAGCTAGGTAACATCTTCAGTGCTAGGGCTCTGAGATTGGTGCCATGCTTGCACAGCCCTGTGAATCCGTGCAGCTTCTGGCGAGCTTCAGAAGTTGGTGCAGCTCCTGTTCCAGAGGAAAAGTTGCGCACAGAGTTTTGCTGCATTTCTTTGGAGCTGCAGCGGAGTCTACTTCCACGAGTAGGAAGTCCTGCTTCTCCTGGCTCCTGTGGTTGCCCTCTCTTCCTGACGTGGAAAGGGACTGTGGTTATTGTTGCAGATCTCCCATCATGTGGCTATGCCCCCCCCAGGTCAGCCCACTGGAGTTTCCTTTCCTCCTCATTGTGAAAAGTACATGAACCAAGAGAAGAACAAGGAAGGGCGTAGGGTGCCAACTAGATAATTTTGCTGCTGTACATTGACCAGCTGGCTGGTTCAAGGACAGGAAGCTGATTTGCCAGCCCATCATATGGTACAAAAATGTGGTTTATAGTGTAAGAGTGGGGTGAAACCACCGGCTGTGTAATAAGTCCTTCCTGCTTCAAGAAACTTTACGCTTTTGCAAACATTCGGGTTTCCCCAAAGTGACTGATCCTACCTCTTGTGTTTAGGTGGTACCATTTTTTCTGCATGAGGATTCTTTTTCTAAGATTTAGGATTCCAACCCTGGCTGCAGAAAACAGTATACTCCTACTTATTTAAGTAAAAACAAAAAAACCTCCCAAAAATCTGAAATGGCCATGCAGGTAATTTAATACTGGATATTTAACATGAACAGTGTGTACCTTTCAAACTGTGTTGTATATTAACATCAGGGAGATCATGTTACGATCGTAAACAAAATTCAGGCTTGGGAACAAGGCAATTTTATTGTCCTAACAAAAAGTGCAGGAAGTGGGTAAAACAGAGAGAGTAATTGACAGGGTTCTGCTTCTCTTTAAAGGTTGCTTCGCTTCTAAATTCAACTTCACCGAGGGGCACCGTTTCAAAGTGGTTTTGTGAAATGATGTGGCTTCCTGCTTTGAAAGGACTTTGGCAAAATTTATTTCTGCCTAAGATAAGAGCTAGAACAGGTGCTTTGCATGGAGAACATCACCTCTGTGCGCTGACAAGGTGGTGTCCACTACTGGCATGATGTGAAGTGCCTCCTCGAGGCAAATCATTCCTGCCTCGCACCGCGCTAATAATTTAGGCACACAACCTGGTATTCACACTGAAATACATCTTATTATTACTATTACTACTGTATTATTATTACTATTTATTTATTTTCATTTATTGGCTACCCAACTCCAGTGGACTCTTGAAGACATAGTTGTGTCCGTGGCCAATTAAGAATAAGAGAGCCAATCAGAAACTCCTAGGTGTGGAATAGGCTGTATGACTTGGTCTGTTGGCTAGAAAAAATGGATATCCTCCAGCTATGTGGGCCAACCCCCAGAATTCTTAGCACCAGCACTGTTGCCTGGGGAATTCTGGAAGATTTATTTATTTATTTATTTATTTATTTATTTATTTATTTATT